ACCTGTTTGTGGGTCTCATGTACGTATTTACTCAATTCTTCAAACTTTTTGTTATACTTCTCATCCATTTCTATAAAGGTGTTTTTTACATATTGTTTAAGGGACTCTATTGCTTTCATAAAGTCGATTTTTTCCACTTCTTCTGTGTTAGGGTGTTCAAGACCTTCTGTTGTAAGATCATTGGGTTCTGGTGCTTTCATGTTGTTTTTCAGCTTATTGGGTGAATTTTTGCCTTGGCACCTGCCCATCTCCTCCTATTGATGCTCTCTAATTGGTCTTTTAAAACCAGATCAGGTTTCCCTGCTGGCTAGAGGCTCCTCTTGCAAAATGCCCTCGTTCTGTTTCCTGGCTTCTGCCAGGGGCCAAGATCCCTCTCACCCCTCAGATGGGTCTTCAGGAAAAGAACCAGGTTCCCTGTTTGCCAGGGACCTCGCCAACCAAAGGCCTACCTCTTTTATTTAATTGTCCTGGGGCGATCTGCTCTCAGTGTTGCGCTGCCGCCTGCGTTGCCTGCCACTGTGTCAGTACCCGCTGGTCCGGCCCGCGCCAGCTGTGTTGCCCGCCGTGCGCGGGTTCTGCCCGCCGCCGCCGCCATTAGCCGGTTCCGCCCGCCGCTGCAGTGCCTGTTTTTTTTTTTTTTTTTTAAATTAACTGTCAATAGTTTTCTTTTAAAAACATTACTTATCTGTATTCCACAGATGTTCTTTTGGTTTCCTTACTCTCTTTTTTTTCTTTATTTTTAAAACTTTTTCTTTTTTTTCTTTGATCCATGGGTTATTGAGAATTATTATTTAATTTTTATATCTCTTCATACTAATTTCTAACTTACTCATATTATGGGAAAGAATATAATCTATACTGACTAGACTTAGATGACCAGTGCCAGATTACTGATACAGGAAACTGTGGAGGTAGAGAAGAGGAGCAAGAACATTATTCAGAGCCAGTGAGTTTACAGTGCTTTCAAGCAGACTTGCAAAGGGATCATGTGATCAGTTAGATTCGAACTTTGTATTGTTTTTAGAAGATGCAGTCACATTTAATGTTCTTGAACAGCCTTTTCTAATTAAGGACAATTTTTCATAGTTGCAGAAGACCCTGCAAAGTCACTTACAGAGCTGTCTCCAGACTTTGGACATTCATCACCTCCACCACAACCTCCTTCCATGAACTCCTTATCCAGCGAGAACAGATTCCACTCTCTACCGTTCAGCCTGACCAAGATGCCCAATACTAACGGCAGCATTGCTCACAGCCCACTATCACTGTCAGTGCAGTCTGTGATGGGCGAGCTGAACAGCACGCCTGTCCAGGAGAGTCCACCTTTGCCCATCTCTTCTGGTAATGCATACGGCCTAGAGGTGGGCTCACTGGCTGAAGTGAAAGAGAATCCCCCGTTCTATGGGGTTATCCGTTGGATTGGCCAGCCGCCTGGGCTCAGTGATGTGCTAGCTGGACTGGAACTGGTAATTTATTTTGGCTTGAAATCTACAACGTTTCTTCATGGGTTTTAAAACTAGGTTTTCCTCTATTAGATAATTTCCTGGGAAGTTATTTTTTTCTCAAAAAAAATTCAGTAGTAGAGGAAATATAGTATTGCTTACCTTCACCCTTTGTCATTCCTCAGGCTTCTTGCCCACTTATTCCTCATGTTTGTTTGTGATCAAGGAATAGATTGACTTTTAGGCTAGAACATGTAGTCTTCACATACAAACAGAATGCAGCAAAGAAAGCAGTTCAGTGACCAGTTTTCCTTCTTATTCTTTAGCCTCCTCCCATTGCAGTCAGTTCAGGGATGTGACTGACTTTAAAATTAATCATCATGTTTGGAGTCTTTGGGAGAGGGGAAGGTTTTATTTTTGGGTCTTAAAAAAGTATATTGTGTGATATTTCATAACCAGGAGGGAGAACTTGAATAAATGTAGCTATTACCTAAATATAGTTTTTAATTTTTTTCACTTGTCTTCTTGCTGGTGAGGAACTTGGTAATTTACTCCTGCCCCTTGATTTTAATACTTTTGAAATGGCTCAGGGAAACTCAGTAAACCAGGGAAGTTCTAAGCATGTATTTTGAAAGGAAATGCATCAAATACTTCCCGGAGGGCTAAAGAATGATTTTCTTAAACCACCAGCTGAGGGCCAAAGCACCAGTTAGTCCCTTTTCCTTCGTGCTGATCTATTCAGAAAAGATTTGAAAAAGAAATTCAGAAAAAGTGAAAACTCCATAGCTCTTCCCAGTGTAATACATACCAAAACCTTTCTTTTTCAGGAGGATGAATGTGCGGGCTGTACAGATGGCACGTTCAGGGGCACGCGCTATTTCACCTGTGCCCTGAAGAAGGCCCTGTTCGTGAAACTGAAGAGCTGCAGACCCGACTCTAGGTTTGCGTCCCTGCAACCTGTTTCTAATCAGATTGAAAGATGTAATTCCTTAGGTAATTGGATACTTTTAATTTATTTACCCATCTGGAATGACTGTTTCTTGCTACTTTTCAGTACCTGAGGGCAACAGTGTTTAAACGTTTTGTTTACTTGCCAATGTTCATCAAGTTTCGAAGTTGGTAAAGATTCTTACTTGGTGCATAAGAGAGTTGTCCTAAGAGGAGATATGTTGAAAGAAGAGTTAGGAAAAGTGTTTAGGGTCTAAAGACTGAAAGGCGGTGTTTTTTCTCTTCTTTTATTGATTATAGACATTAAATTTTTGGCAGTGTGGGTGGTAGAAATGAAAATGTGGTCCCTTTAGCAATAACTTCCCCTCCGCATCTATTTAAGTACCTCATTCTGGATGTCCTTATGAAGAAATCTGATACAGTCTGGGGATGCAGTTGGCTTGACAGATGGAGGACAATTCTTCTCATTGTCACTAGCTTGCTGATGCTGGCCTTTCCCTTAACAATAGTGAGAGTCAAGCTGGGGGAAATAAGGAAAACATCTTTATGAAAAACATTTTTCTTAATGTTGAATAGTATTTTGGAAACTTGTTTTCTTTTTATACTTGAAAATGAAACATTTTGGACAAGTAACAAAATATTCTTTAACAGATACTTAATTGACTTAATTTTCTAAAGTCTATATGACAGGAATGATGTTGAAAGTGAATAATCACATTTTTATAAGTCCAGAAAAATATCAGTTAACTAAAGTAAAAAAATGCAGAGGATGCCAAAATATACTTCAAATGATATATATATATATATATGTACATGCATATAAATATAATACTGTCATGATTTAAAAGAATTATTTTTATTTTTTATCTTTTCAGCATTTGGAGGCTACTTAAGTGAAGTAGTAGAAGAAAATACTCCACCAAAGATGGAAAAAGAAGGTTTAGATATAATGATTGGAAAGAAGAAAGGCATCCAGGGCCATTACAATTCTTGTTACTTGGACTCAACTTTATTCTGGTAAGTTCCTATTTTCTGCAATAAGTGTAAATAGTGCTGTGTGGGGGAGAGGGGAGACAGGCATGTATGTGTATATGAAAAAAGGTGCCAGATGCCTTTGAGTAGAGAAACTGACAGAGTTAGGAAAGATCATGAGATTTGGTCCTTAGTGACTAAAGAATTTCATATCTATTCCTAGATCTAAAGCACTAATCTAAAAATACTGCAGTGAATAATGAGTGAACAGATACTCTGAGGACATCTGCCTCCAGTGTAGATGATGGCACGTGTGCCAAGTAACTTGCAGCAAGCTATTGGCATTGCGTGCTGCGTGTGTTCTGGAATATGGAGATGGTCATAAAAATTCTTAATATTAAAAATTACTTTCCATGGGATCACCGTTGCCCTCCTTTGTGTAGTTTTCCCTAAAGTGGATCAAGTTGAACAGCAAGGATCATTAGGCTATGAAGATTGAATCTGTAGCCGTTAGGGTTGTGCACTGCCAGTTAAGGTAAGTGGATCTGCCACTCCGTAGGCTGTGCCACAAGAGTTAGGAAGTTAGTATGGAAGTTAGAATTTTAAAGGAGAGAGCAGAATAAAGGTGGGTCTTTTCGTTGGTGGAATACTTTTGATTAAACAAACAAGCAAGCATTACCATAATATTCCTTAGATTTACTGATAAAAATTTATTTTAACTAAATTTATTTTCTTTGATACCAGCAAATTTTTATTGCTAATTACTCACAAGTTATTATAAGGAAATGCCTATCTTATGATAATAAGATGAATTTGTCCTGACTAGTCTGATCTGGTCTTGACCAGTCTCTGACTTTCTCCCTATGTTGTCTGTGTGTGTGTGACCGATTTCCAGGCCTCTCTTGGTTTATGCAAACAAGCTTCTTTCATAATGTTCCCTGGCGTGTTTTCAACCTTCACGTGTATGGTGCAGTCTTAGTGTTTCTGGTCCAGATCTGCAGGATCTCAGGGCACTGAGCACAGGGCCTGTGTGGTCTGTCCATGAGTTCTTAGACCAGTGGTTCCCTACACTTTATCCCTTTGCCTCTTCCTACTCCTCTAAGAATCTTTCTCAAATATTATTGTTCTTATAACATGAGGAAAATATTCTTTTATTTTGCAGCTTATTTGCTTTTAGTTCTGTCCTGGATACTGTGTTGCTCAGACCCAAAGAAAAGAATGATGTAGAGTATTATAGTGAGACCCAGGAGCTACTGAGGACAGAAATAGTTAATCCTCTGAGAATGTAAGTAGAAGACATGTGTTTTGTCTTTAGTTGGTGTTCTGTTTACTGTTTTCTTGTATCGTAATTAATTTGTGCTCTGTACTCATGTAGTAAAAAAAAAAAAGAAGTTAGTTCTTATGAAATACTGACTTTTTAAAACCTTTATTTTTCGTCTTCTGCTTATGTGTTTTTTAGTCTGGGCAGTGCATTCTGTAAAATGATGGGACTCATTCGGAATCATGCACTACAAAGTAGCAATGACATTGCACTAGAAACAAGTGAGGTATATTAAAGTGACATGGCCTTTTGTTTGTTTAAAAGAATTTCTTTAGGTCTTCTTTTCCTCCTTTACTAAGGAAGTTGTAAATGTGCAGAAGACCATGGAGGAAGACTTTGATACATGATGGTGAAGTGTGATGACTTCACAAGGCGTTTATGTGATGAAGAGTTAGGTTAGCTTAGCCAGTGATCAGGAAACAGATAGCTCAGGGGCATAGAGAACAAACTATGCAATTTAAAGTCCAACTGTGATTAATTTAAAGTTTGTGATACACTTTTCTTAACAATGAAAATAAAAATTAACATAATATATTTAAAAATAACAAAACATGGAACTATAAGGAGTATTCCAAACGACATACTGTGTCACATAGCTAAGAAAGTAAACTAAAAGTGAAACAAATTTCTCTAGATACTTGTTTGCCTTACTTTTCTAATCATCTTATCCTTTAACTATGTGCTTTGATTTTAATATTAATTATTTTACTTACACAAATTTTAAACTCTCAGATTTTTCTTTCCCTATGTAAATGACACTAGAACAGCACAGGTCAAATCTTAACTACAAGGCATATCATCACAGCCTTCCTTCTGTTAAAATACTGTCAATCCATCAGTAAACGTTTTTCCATACGATTGCCCAACTAGTCCAGAATCACAGTTATTCTAATTTTGTCACCAGTCTATAGAAAACACTTGCTGCATGGCCTATGAGACCAAGGTGCAGCTTGCCAGGCATGGTGGGATATACCTGTAATCCCAGCACTTGATAGCTCAAGAGGCTAAGCCAAGATCAGTAGCTCAGAAATTTGAGATATATTTCTTGTGTCTGCAAATGTCATATCTGTTGTTTGGACAGAGGTTTTGCTTTCTGTATTGGAAGCGCCCACAGGCAGAGATCCTGTTTTGTTTATTTGGTTTTTTTGTTGTTGTTAGGTTTCTTTAATCTCCTTTTGTATTTTTGGTGCCCTATATATAGCATTACACAGTGGTAGGTGTTTAGTGTTTGCTGATCGCAAGTAAGTGGATAGTCGCTCTAAAAAGCAGGTACACAGTATGATTAGCTGGCTCTGACTTGTTCTTGTAAGCCCATGGTCTCCTATAGTCAACGAAAGAGAATGTCATAATTATGTTGACTGTTTGATTTCAGATTTTAGATTTTTAGTATCTCATCAGTTCCCTTTTCCATGTCTCTTATCCTGTGTATAAGAAGGGCTTTCTAAAATTTGGATATCCTATTTTATAAAATAAGTGTTTTAATATAATAAGCAAATGCCATTTAAAAATTGCTTCACCCAGGCTTCATAAAAAGTTCAGAATTGTATTAGTACATGGTAGTTATTTTTAAGGTGTTTAATAGTATCTGGAAACAATTCTGATTCTCAGACTTTCACTTTTCAAACTTCTGTAAGAAGCCTACAGTTGTTTCTTAAAAAAATGCCTTGTCTATTGTTTTTTTTTACATGTTACAATTGTATGAAAAGTACTTGTTTATTAAGATGTGTCATATGACTCACTGTGCCAGTGTCAGTTAATTCATTTTTATCAACAGATATGGATATGTGTGTGCCACAAAAATTATGAAACTGAGGAAAATACTTGAAAAAGTTGAGGCTGCATCAGGATTTACCTCTGAAGAAAAAGGTGACCCTTTTAATTTATAATACATGCATTGAAAATAACTTGAAAGTTTATCATCTAGTAATATGCTAAATTATTTCCTGAAATACACCTATTTAGTTTAGAGGATTAAATTTAAGTTAGAATTATTTGAGAGGGCTAGGAGTGTACTCAGTGGTGGGGTATGTAAGAGGCCTTGTGTTTGAATCCCAGCACTGCAAAAATATGAAAAGTTTCTTTTCTATGTGACATGCATATTTCTCCTGATTTTGTGATTCTTCTGAAGTGATGTGATGTGGAAGAAGTCTTTAAGAGGCCAGCCGGCTGGCTCTACAGAAGACGACCAAGTAAAGAGCTGTCTATCACAGGAAGAATCCCCAGCACCCAGTTTCCCACTGTGCTCCCTGTTGAAAGGGGCTGTGGAGCATTGGCCAGCACTTCTGTCTGCTCACAACTGCAGAATTCGCTCAGACTCAACTCCTGAATTAGTCTGTTAACAGTATACTATAACCAGCTGTGGCAGTTATACACATGGCTATTACTAAAATAGAAGAAAAAATAGGGCATATACCAGGTATATTCTACTGAACCTCCCAAAAGACATAAAAATGATTTCACTGTGTGTGAATGAGTATATTCTGTTAAATAGGGCATCATGACAACAAATGAAAAAGTAATGTTTTATTATAAGTTTTCCCGTGTCAGGAGAACCTGAAATAACTAATTAATTATATTAATTTAATTAATATGTTTCTCTTAAAGAATAGAATGGTTTTTAAATTTTCTCTGTGATTCACTTAGGTTTTTTTTGTTTTGTTTTGTTTTCTCCTAGATCCTGAAGAATTTCTAAATATACTGTTTCATGATATTTTAAGGGTTGAGCCATTGTTAAAAATAAGGTAGGTCTCAAGCTGTCTAGAAGCATTTCAGAAGTAGACCTTCTTTTTCACTGCCATTGCCCAGTAGCTAAATGTTGCTAGCATAGATGTGGGTTTCACTAGCTGCTGTCCTCTCTCTGAGCTACACTTAACTTCTAGGGCACAAGTGACCTTGTCCTTTTAATTAGCCCTAGTGACAGATGTGCCCACAATTTAATTACTTATGAAATTGCATGTTAATATTTTTGAAAGTTCAGTTAGTGAACTTTTAAAAGGAATCTTATTCTAACTGAATTTAAAAAAAGAAAAAAAAACAGTGAGAGCATTGTTTTTGGCTTCCCATAACTTATAGTTAGCCTTAAGTTAGCTCTTTTGTTCTCAGTTTAGATCTTCCTTCTCCCCATGTTGAAAGAATACCTGAGTTTACTGCAATACAGTTCTTAGTGAGATGTTTGAAATGTCTGCCCTTCTTAGGTCATTTGAATGGTGGGCCCCTCTTGATTTCAGTCTTGGTTTCTCTGGTGAAAATCTTAGGAATGTGCTGCATACTTCACTTCCTTAAGAACCCACACTGATGAGTTCGCTTTCCTCTTGTGTCTAAGCAATGCAGTTTGAACCAGGGTTAAACTGATTGTGGGAGCAAGGAAAGTATCACAGTTAAAGTTTGGTTCTCTTCAGAAATCTCTATCTAGTAAACGGGCATGATGCGTAAGCGTTGGGTGTACAAACTTATTAGCAAGTCCAAGTTGGTAATCGCTTTCTATGTACCTAGAAAATCCTAGAGAATTATCTACAAAGATTTAAGAAAAGAATTTATTATAGTCTAGCCATGTAAAAATTAATCATGGAAAATCAACAACATTTTTTTATTCCTTCAAGCATATAGAAAAAGGAATATTTTATGTTTTAGGAAAGAAAAATAAGCAA